TTACAGAACAAAATAGTTTCTCATTAAACATTTAGTACACATGTTGCCCTATGACAATAGTTAACAACTTCACAGCACATCAACACTGTCCTTACTCAACCTTGGGTTCCTTATCACCAGCTTTCCTGTCCCGTTCTGCCCCTTGTCCCTGGACTGCTGTGCCTCATTAGTCCAGCTTTGTTTTATGGGCTGTCCAATTGCTGGCTGAACGGTGAACCTCGGAAGTGACTTCACCACTGAGCTAAAAGGGTGTCTGGGGACCGTACTCTCAGGGCTTCTCCAGCCTCCTTTAGGCCAGTAAATCTGGTCTTTTCTTGTGTTTGTTAGAATTTTGTTCTACATCCTTCTCCAGCTCTGTCCAGAACACTCCATTGTGATCCCTGTCAGAGCAGTCAGTGGTGGTTGTCAGGCCCCATCTAGTTGTACTGGACTCAGTCTGGTGGAGGCCTTGGTAGCTGTTGTCCATTTGTCCTTTGGGCTAATCTTTTCCTTGTATCCTGTTCTCTTCATTCTCCCTTGCTCCCGAAGGGATGAGACCAGTGGAGTTCTATTTTTAGTTTTTTGAGGAACCACCACACTGTTTTCCACAATGGCTGCACAATTTTGCATTTCCACCAGCCATAGATAAGGATTCCAATTTCCACACATCCTTGCCAACATTTGTTATTTTCCGTTGTTGTTTTTTTATCTTAGCCATCCTAGTGGGAGTGAAATGGTATCCCATTGTGGTTTTGATTTGCATCTCTCTGATGGCTAAAGCTGTTGAACATCTTTTCGTGTCTTTGTTGGTCATTTGAATATCATCTATAGTGAAATGTCTATTCATCTCCTTTGATCATTTTTTGATTGAGTTATTTGTTTTTCTGTTGTTGAGTTGTGGAAGTCTTATATATATTTTAGATATTAGATCCTTATAAGAGATATTGTTCCTGAAGATTTTTTTCTAGTCTGTAGGTTGTCTTTTTATTCTTTTGATAGTCTTTTGATGAAGATAGGTATTTAATTTTTATGAGATCTCAATTATCTATTTTATCTTCTGCTTCTTGTGCATTCATTGTTGGATTTGATAATCTATCATTGAAAAAAATCAGGTCCCAGAGATTTGCCCCTGTATTTTCTTCCAAGAACTTTATGGTTTTAGATTTAACAGTTAGGTCCTTAATCCATTTTGAATTAGTTTTTATGTATGATATGAGGTATGGATCTTGCTTCATTTTTCTGCATGTGGAAATCTATTTTGCCAGCACCATTCATTGAAGAGACTGTTCCTTCCCCTACTGAATGGACTTAGCACCCTTGGCAAAAATCAGTTGACCATACAAAAAAAAAAAACCAAACCCGTTGCTGTCGAGTTAATTCCGACTCATAGTGACCTTATATGTATGGATTTATTTCTGGATTTTTGATTCTATTCCATGGATCTATGTGTGTATCATTAAACCTGTACCAGTCTCTTTTGATTACTGTAGCTGTGTAATATGTTTTGAAGTCGGGAAGTGTGAGGCCTCCTACTTTGTTCTTCTTCTTCAAGATTGCTGTGGCTATTCGGGGCTCTTTGCCTTTCCATATAAAATTGAGGATTAGTTTTTCCATTTCTGTAAAAATTGCTGTTGGGGTTTAATCAGGATTACATTGAATCTATAGCTTGTTTTGGGTGATATTGACATCTTGACTATATTAAGGCTTCCAGTCCATAAACATGGAATGTCCTTTCACCTATTTAGGTCTTCTTTAGTGTCAGCAGTGTTTTATAATTTTCACTGAATCAGTCTTTCACATTTATCTTAGTCATCTAGTGCTGCTATAACAGAAACACCACAAGTGGATGGCTTTAACAAAGAGAAGTTTATTCTCTCACAGTCCAGTAGGCTACAAGTCCAAATTCAGGACATCAGCTCCAGGAGAAGGCTTT